CACTGGATGCCAGTTAAGGAGCCGAAATCTGATAAGGGACTGCCGAAATTCGATAAGGGGCTGCTGTCAGCCCCACTCAGGGAGGAGGGAGGGACTGATGGCTTTGAAGGGGTGCAGATAAGAAGTGGCCTCCTGTCAAATAGAACATGATTGATTACCCTCTATCCTGGCTCCCGCTTGGATAGAAGTGTCTAATGGGCTGCAGGCTCCAGATCAGGTAGTGACATTCCTGTTGGGAGGTGGGAATGCCATGCCCAGAGAGGCGGGAGATCAGCTGTGGCACAGCAGGGAGGAGAGAGGTGCTTTCCCTTCTGGATCCCTTTGCTTTTTATTCTGACTCTGAGGGAGACAAACCAACAAATAAAACTCAGGCAGCTGGGGTGGCTGAAGCCCCAGCTTTGCCTGGAGCCAGCCAGGATTTGTCCTTGGAGAGGTATTCAGGCAAACCAGGAGCTGAGGCAGCGCAGGGTTCAAGTTGATTTGCTCGTGTTCAACGCTGTAGAAGTGAATTTTCCCTCTGTTTAGCCTGGGAGATCATAGACACCAAGTAATTACTCTGCCTCTCTTCAAAGAAACATAAAGTTCTCATCAAGATTTGGTTCAATATTATTTTAAACCATTGTAGACTTTTCCAGTTTCCTGGGGAAAACTGTTCCTTTTGGCTATCTGATATTGTTTCTCTTTGGAACATATTTAGAGTGGAAAGAGCAGCTTTTTCTTTACCTGTTACAAGTTGTGTCTTAAAAATGCTCCTTCTATGCCCATTTTTCAATCCAGAACGTGTCTTATTGCAACTTAAATGTTGCTCTGCAGAATAAATATTTGGGATTCTTACCCCCTTTGCTCCTTACTATAAAATGGACACTTCTGGAGGTAAATTGGATAGGAAAAGAGGAAGGTGATTGGAAAAGCAGTGCTGCAGGATGGATGTAATTAAGTGTTCTTTGTCTCCTGCATGCAGGATGAGTCATGGCTTAGGCTGCTTGATGGTGGCCTTTGGAAGGGAATCTCCATCATGGAGGACTTGGAAAGCCAAGCAAACCCCTGAAAAATTAGAGGGAACTTATTTCCTATAATTTGGTTAAAAACAGACTCTGGGGCAGTCTTCATCAGTCTGCATCTTCAGGTTGAGATCTGACTCTGAAGTCTGGCTAAGAGAGGATGAAGAATGGGAAAACAAACCCCCTTGGGCAGCGTGGTTGGACGGGTGAGGAAGATGATGGTCCAAAGTTTAGTCCCTCAGCAAGGGACAGCTGAGTGAGGGAGCAGAGCCTGCATATGCCAATGGCTTGGCCAAACCCCCTTCCCAAGGAGCTGGTTCATAGGTTTAAAACCAGCCATTTCAAAGTTTTCTAGGGTTCATAGCTTCCTCAACTGCTTAAATAGCTTTTGAAGAGTGAAAATCAAACAGTTGCTGCCTCTCCAGAGCAGGGGACATTGAGGCCTCTCCAGATAAGCCCTTGAGGCTTCTCTTCCATCTGCCTGGAACAGAAGAGGCTTTTGAAGGGGTGAAATTCCCTTGAAGGACAGAGATGTTTATAGCTACAGTCAACCTTCCTCCAGGAAAACTCTTTATTCCAGAAGTCTGAATTGTAGCCACAGCTGTCTTTCTCCTCAGAAAATCAGGAGCCTGTGGGCTATGGGATGACTTCCCTTCCAGAGTTTGCCTGTCCAAGAGTTTGTCTTCCTGAGGTCCCCCATCAACTCTGCATCTTTCCTTTTCCAGTGGAAAAAGGCTCCTTGTGCCCCCTGTTTGACTGATTCCTTGCAGGAATGAGCCAAGGTATGTAGCTCAGGTTATATTAAAAGGAAAAAAAGTTGTTTTCCAAGAAAACTAGGAGAGGAACCAGTCATCTTCCTCTCCCTCCTGAAGTCAGGCTAGGCTTCAGGCATACAGAATTTCTGAGAGCTGGCAGGAGAGGGAGGCTTGGAAGTACAGTAAAATGAGTTTGCCATCAAAAGGCAACAAGTCTTATGCTGTGCCCCCGGCTGCTGACCTTTCCCTCTGGAATTCTCCCCTCTGACCTCGGGATCATTAATCCTGATGCTGCCAGATGACAGTAATCCATCATGGCCCCTGACAAGCCTTGCAGCCGCCTGTGAAAGGATCCGCTCGGCTTCAGCATCCAATCGTCCCATGATACTCGTTTTTCAGCCTTTCCTGTTGGAGCAGTGGGGGTTTCCAATAAAGACTTTATCGCCTCGGCTTTCCTCAGAGAGGGCTGGGGGAGGAGAGATCCGAGGAAACACTCAGCCACGGCCTGCCCTGGAAAATACAGAGAATTTACCAGGTCCAAACCCAAAATCATTCTCTGCCCGATCTGGGCCTTGTTACTTGGAGTAGCACTACAGGAAAGGATGGGAAGGAAATTATTCCATCTACGTGCTCAAGTGGAAGAAGGATGGAAGTAGTTTTGTCCTTGCTGTAGTTTCTCTTCTGTTTAAGGAAATGTTATGGGGGAAAAAACAAACTAGAGGTTTTCTTAGTTGATAAATATATATGCTGTGTATAAACATATTTAGCTTAATCTATAAATCTGTATTTCTATATAAATATTTGCTAGGGGAGTTTATATTTAGTTTACAAATGAAATTTCAGGACACTTTGGCCTTGTTCAAAAGCAAACCTGAGGAAGGGAAGGTGCCCAAGGGCTGGTGAGGTGGGGAGGTCAGATCTCAGTGCTGTTCCTGCTCCACCTGGAGCAGGCTCTTTGGAAACGTTTAAACCTTTATTTCCTGCTGATGTAGATGATGTTTTTGCCTTTCACTGGAGCATTTGGATAAATATACTTTGTGTATTTTTCCAACTGCTGAGCTGGGGGAGTCTGGAGAAGAGTAAAGGTGTGTTTGGGATAAATGCAGTGTATTAAAAAGTGGATATTTCTGAATACTTCTGTATTAGCAGCTTGTTCGCCTGAGGAGCTTTATCCATGACCTTCCCTTTCACTCTCCATCTGGTCAGTGTCCAAGGAGAGCTGGATGAAAGTCCCCTCTATACAAGTTAATGCTATTCCCTAAATTGGATTGGGGAAAAGTGGGTGGCTTTGAGGGTGGCACCAAGTTGCTGGAGGAGTAGGGGGGAAAGGGGCTCGATGCTGCCCCCAGGGGAGTAAAGGCTTTGCAGCTTTAATTAATTAACGGAGGGGCATTTTGGGGGTGTAAAAGCCAGCCCTGGCTCTTCCTGGAGACCTCAGAGGGAACTATTTCCCTGTTTTCCCTTTGGGTGTGACTGTGGTTGCTGGGGCTCAGCTGATGAATGATAACTTGGGGCCGGTAACATGATCGTTCCCAGCGCTCTGCGGGTCCTCTGGGGCTGTCCCTGGGCTCTCAATCTGCAGTAACAACTCCGAGACAAAATGGAGGCTCCACAGAAAACAGAGCAAACTGAGGCTTTTGGGGGTGGCCAGCTGGGATGGATGGAGCCACGGAGCGTTCAGAGGGTTTGGAAGCACCTCCACCTCTATTCCCCCAGGGAGCGGTCACCTCTGAAATGCAGGAGGAGGATCTGCTGCAGCTTGTGGAATTACTGCTTTGTGGACTTTCTGCTGTGGGCAGGGAAGGGGCTGTTTGGACATATCATATAAAATTATATGAATCTGGTCAGGTGCTCCTGATGTTTGCTTGTGCTTTAAGAGTTGTAACTCAGTGGGATTTTCAGCCCTTTAAAGTGAAAAAATTTACTTTTTTATCCACCGTCTCATTAACGTGTGGGAATTGGCACCATGAGCTAATGCCTAACAGGCTTCCAAAAGAAAAGAGAGGGGAAAAAAAAATCCCACTTGGATGTATAATGAGGACATCTGCAGAGCTGAGCTCCTTTTCACTGAACAGAATAAACCCCATTTATAAGGGCCATAAACTCCTCTGCTCCGGGGCATTAAGCGAATCGCTGGCTGAGGAGCAGTGGCACAAGCCTCCCCTGTGGATTGGGTATTCCATGATTGTCCATTACAGCCCTTCCCAGGCTTTCCTGTGAAGGCTGGTGCTGACCATTGTGGGAGACAGGATACTGACCTCAGATGGATGGCTCTTTGATCCGGGACAGTATTTCCTAGGCAAAATAAAAGGGTTGCTGCATCAGCTTTTTTTTCCCCCTTTCTTCCTCTCCATGCCTAAATCTCATTAATTTGACTTTTAGCACTTTGAGGAGCTTCTAAAGGGGCACTAACAGGTTAAAAATCAGATTTTCTTTTCTGTTAATCCAAAAGATGAGAAAACTGAGCAGGAAGGATAGAGCTGGTTCCCTGTCCTGCCCTCAGAAGGACAGAACAAGACCTTGGTTTGGGCTCCAAAAGGTACTGGGATGCTTGGCACTCCTCACAGCTGCTGTGTGGCCTCGTCAGGGAGTTATTTGGGAACATTTTGAGGGAAAAGGAGAGTAGGAGGATATAAACACTGTGTGAACAGCAGAAAGAGCAGCCCTTTATTTACCTGTCAAGGTTGTAGCAAAAGGTTCTGCACGTGACTGTGAGGGGGGATGGAGATGTGTGGGGAAGAGATGCTCTCTAGTATCATTTATCCCTTTATTTTGCTGTTCCCAAGCAATACAGAACAACACATCCTGGGGAATAAGGGAGCTGAACTCCAACATAGAGTATCTGGAGTTGCCTGGCTGCTCAGCACCTTACTGAGCACAACCAGTACAGATTTTTATCTGAGACTGCCCTGAGCTCATAAAACTGATTCCTCTGTGCCTCAGCCCCAGGATTGAATAGTCCCAACTTCCCCTCTTTCTGTTTTAGAAGTTGCTCGTTGCTGTGGGTTATTATTGGTCTGATAATTGCTTTTGCCCACAGGAAAGGATCCTTCATGGAAAGGATGTGCCATGTAGCTGCACTTCTCTGCCTCATTTACTCGCTCATGCAGAGGCCTCAAGCCAGGCTGCAAACAGAGCTCCTGGATTTCCTATTGGAAGGAAGATCAATAGCCCCAGCCTGCCAGTTTTCTTGTCCTCCTTTTCTCCCTGACTCCATGCTCCTTTCCCTGCTGTTTCCCTGCAGGAACTCCCATCAATCGGATCCCCATCATGGCAAAGCAGATCCTGGACCTCTACATGCTCTACAAGCTGGTGACCGAAAAGGGAGGGCTGGTGGAAATCATCAACAAGAAGATCTGGCGGGAGATCACCAAAGGCCTTAATCTGCCCACCTCCATCACCAGTGCCGCGTTCACCCTGCGGACACAGTAAGTCAGGAGGGCTGACAGCAGGGATGGCCTGGGCAGGACCAGGAGCTGGGCTCCTGGATGTGGATCCAATCCCTTGCACTGCCCTCTTTTTTGCCTCTTCGGAGTTTAAACTCCTCAGGGCGTGGAGGGTCTTGTCTGTCTCTGAAGAGCACTTGGCACAGGGAGGAAGGAGAGAAGGGAGACAGACCTCCTGATTTTGGGCATCAGGTATGAGCCTGATCATTTCATGTGTGTTAGCACTGGAAACTTGGAATTTAGCAGCTCCTCACTGTGAAGATTGCTTTTCTGAGCTGCAGTACTCTATTGGGGAAGAAAGAAAGGAAGAAAAAGTGGAATAAGCATCAGAAAATAACCATGAAAGTAAAATGCCTGAAAAATTATGCAACAGAGCAAAGCTGTGCTTTAGCTGTGAAAGGCTGGAGTCTGGGAATCTGCTCTCAGCTCTTATGGGTTTTTTGGGAGTTATTAGAAACCCCTGAGTCCCAGAGAGGGAAGCTCTTGCCATTTCCTCAGCCTTTGATACAGCAGGCTGTTCCTGCAAACCTGTGTGCTAAAGTGATAAGGTTTGGTGCTGCCCAGTACAAATGACTTGAATCAAGGGCAATTCCTCAAACTTCCTTCCTTGAATTACGTGTTGTGATCTGAGACCTTCGTCCTTAGAGTTTTAGATTCTCGACTGTAAAGGACTTGTGGATGATTCTTAGATGGTATTTTAGCTGTAAAGAAGTCCTGGATGAATCTTTTCTGCCCTTGTGGGTGTAGTAATATATATTCATGCGTTTTCCTACAAACATTGAGTGAATTCAGGGTTTTAGCTTCGCCCAATGCTTATCACAGCAAAGGCTCCAGATCCACCAAGAACCTCAGGCTGAGAGTCTTCCTGTCCCCAGTGCTTGTTTCCATAGCCTGTAATTCCATGTTCTGCTGAGCAAGTGCTGGAGTTTCCCTGTGCTTCCCTCTCCCCAGGTACATGAAGTACCTCTATGCCTATGAGTGTGAGAAGAAATCCCTGAGCTCCCCGGCTGAGCTCCAGGCTGCCATCGACGGGAACCGGCGGGAGGGCCGGCGGCCCAGCTACAGCTCCTCCTTGTTCAGCTACTCACCCACCACCTCAGGGCCTCCCTCCCTCCTGTCTCCCCCCAAAATCCGCTTCCCCATCATCGGCGTGGCACCAGGCAGCGGGACCAGCAACCCTCGGGTGTCTCCAGCAGCAGCCATCAGAAAAGGTCAGCTACTTCTGCTTGCAGTTGGAGGCACTGAAACACAGTTATCAGGGAATCACAGAATCAGCTGGGTTGGAAAGGGCTTCTGAGATCATCAAGTCCAACCCTTGATCCAACCCCACTGTGGTTACCAGGCCATGGCACTGATGCCACATCCAGTCTCATCCTAGAATGCTCCAGGGACGGTGAATCCACCATTTCCCTGGGCAGCCCATTCCAATGGCTGATCACTCTCTCTGTAAAAAATTTCTTCCTAATGTCCAACTTAAACCTTCCCTGGCACAGTTTAAGACCAAGCCCTCTTGTCCTACTGCTGGTTCCTGGGAGAGGAAACCAACCCCTGGCTACAGCCTCCTGTCAGGCAGTTGCAGAGTGAGGTCTCCCCTGAGCCTCCTCTTCTCCAGGCTGGACAACCCCAGCTCCCTCAGCCTCTCCTTGCAGGACTTTGTGCTCCAGTCCCTTCCCCAGCCTCGTTGCTCTTCTCTGGACCTTCTCCAGCACCTCAATATCCTTCCTGAACTGAGGGGTTTCCATTTTATCCATCCAGACTGCTTTGAATTTGAGATTAGTGGGATTTGGGTGGCTTGAAATGACCTGCCTGTGGTTTAAACCCTTGCATGAGGGACTAAGTGACTCTCTCCTCCTTTTCCAGGTGACGGAGTGCCCTTGACTGTGTCTATGCCAAATCGTATTGCTGTGCCAGTGACCTTGAGTAGCCAGCAGGCAACTGTGGCAGCAAGAACAGCCACCCTGGAGCAGCTGAGGGAGAGGCTGGAGTCAGGAGAGCCTCCGGAGAAGAAGGTGTCACGGACGACCGAGGAGGAGCAGCGGCTTGTCCAGCAGGCTCTGCAGCGCAACCTGTTCAGCATGGCACGGCAGATCCCCATGAAGATCAAAATCAATGGCAAGGGTGAGCAGCAGAGACAAAACACAGACAAAAAGCCCTTGGAAACTGGAGCAGGGAGGGAAACGCTTCCAGTCTGGAATGTCAAACACACAGGCTGGGTTATCTCTCAGGGTCCCAGGCAGAGGGCGCGTCAAGAAGGTGTTAAAGTGGAGCACAACAACTGCAAAGCTGAAGTGTGGCAGTGTTTTGTTGAGCTTTACTGCTGGTTGTATTATCCAGCCTCATCTGAATCCAGCCTGGATTCAGAAGGACCTTTGCCCTGTTCACAAAGCTCTGCATCCAAGCTGATCAAACCCACCTGACCCACCCAAGGAGACCCTTTCTCCAAGCTGGTGACCTCCTGTGTCCAGCACAGCGAGGCTGCTGCAGGGCTCAAGCTCTTCCACCTCCACAGAACTTCCACCCTGTTAATTGACCGTGGAAGTAACAGCTTGGTACAGGTCTCCAACTGCAGGAGACTGGGAGAGAGATGCCCAGCTTTAGGAATCCTTTCCCAGGTGGGGTGAGGAGGCCATACAGACCTGTGTGTCTGTGCAGGGCCCTGCGCATCCCAGGGCTTTTAGCAAGGCAGGTGATTTCTGCCCACATCTGCACAGCCTCAGGGCAAAGAACTGCTGGCAAGGCTGGGTTAGGAGGTCACATCCAAGCAGCATTCATGGCCTGGGAATTGCTCTCCTGAAATGCTTTGGAAAAGGGGACTCACCCTGGAAAGGTCACTCATTGCAATCAGTACTGTGATAGAATGGCTTCAAAAGTTGATTAATGCCCTGACTCCCTTACCTGTCCCGGGGCTGCACCTCACCAGGCAGGCAAAGCCTCTGTCCCAGCAGCTGCTTCTTCCAAACCTTTTGATCCTTTAAAATTAAAGGCCTCAGCTCCCTACTAATTGTATATTTGGAAGGAGGCACAAGGCCAGGCCAGTTTGGCAAGGCTTAGAAGGGAAGAGGTGTTCTTGTTCTAGCAGTGCTGGTCAGTGCTTTTTTGGGATGCTTTGCTAGAAATATAGATAGAAAAGGGTCAAAGTAGATTCCTCTGAAGCAGCAGCAGCTGGGATTGGGACTTCACAGTTCCTGTCAGCTGTGCATCCACCTAAATTTCACATCACAACTAAAATAGTGAGTAAAAGGGAATACAAATTTTATCAAGTAATGTTCATTCCCTCTAATCTCACTTTACTTTCACCCTGAACTTCCTAAATCAAAACAGAGGGAACAATTTTAGTCCTTACAAATAGTAACAGGCTGAGCCCTGAGGATTCAGGAATAGTATTCCCACCTTTGTGAGCTGACTGCAGGCAAGGCTGTCCTGTCTTTCGTGCCCTAATTTTTCCAAGTGCACAATCAAAATCATAATTTTGAGAAGTGCTTTTGATAAGCACAGCATGAGCTTATCACGGCTTGATAACAACATTTAAGTTAAACCTTAAGAATGAGGAGTTTTTAGGGGGGAGTGGCCTTGCTCTCCTCTGCGGAGGAGCAATCCTGTAATCCAGGCTCACTCATTATGGAGTGCTTAGGTTGGAGGTTCAGGAGGTTCTGGAAGAGTTTGACATTCAGCTCCCCTCAAACATCACTGCAAACTCAACCCCTGCTCTGCATTGATACTTCCAGAGCTGCCCATCACCCTCCAGGCTGAGGATATAGGAAAAGGTCCCCAGATTTCAGGTCGAGTGGACTGTTTCCTGGGTTTTCCCCTCCCTCCAGTGGCCGCTGGAGCTGCTGCAGTCCAAGCACACCAAGTCACAGCAGCTCCCTGAGGAGCTGAGAACTAGGCCTGTGCTCCCAACAACGGCCACAGTCCAGCTGATTTAAGTATGGTCTTGTCTCATGTGCTCCCAGCTCTTTCCTGGGAGGGGAACATCAATTTGGCCTTCAGGGAAAGATTTCCAAACGCCCGTGAGCTCCCAGCCTCCCCCCAGCTCACACCAAAGCACTTACACACTTTCATAGAATCCCAGGGTGGTTTGGGTTGGAAGAGACATTAAAGCTTATCTAATTCCACCCCCTGCCATGGGCAGGGACACATTCCAGTATCCCAGGTTGCTCCAGACCCCATCCAACCTGGCCTTGGGCACTTCCAGGGATGGGGCAGCCACAGCTTCTCTGGGCAACAAAAATAATAGAACGTGGACATCATGTGGGGACTTCCTCTCCAAAGAGGGGACAAAAGGAGGGCTGTGGTCACTTCTGGGGAGCACAGGGAACAAGATAGTCACTCTCTAACTCTGCATCTCTTCTTTCCTGGAAGAAGACAAGCCCGACTCGACAGCAGCACTGAACTTGTCACCCAACGGCATCGGGAGCATTAACATGTCTGTGGAGATCAACGGCACCACTTATGCTGGTGAGAAACCCCTCCTGGGACAGGGGAGAGCCAAGCTGGGGGAGCAGAGTGGGAAGTGATGTGTTCCTGGGGGCTGGGCTTTGCCAAACTGGGATCTGTCTGGATCAGAAGGTGCAGGAGGAGGTGATTTCTCTTCTCTGTTTTTGGCCTGGCCAGGATGAACACCCTTGCCTTGGTGTTAATATTTTTAAAATGTAAAGGGAGAGTCTTCTGTGAAAGTGTTAATAGGAAAGCACCTCTTCTCCTGAGGAGGTGCTTTACTCAGCATTTCCTCACACATATCTGGCAAGCAGGAATTGTCCCCTGTACTCTGCTCGAGCAGTTTTGCTTCTGCAGGTCACACCTGCACATCCTTGGGCAAATCCCAAGTGGGAGGCCTGGCTCTGCCATGCAGTGGAAGTCACTTCTCTCCTCCAAAGGTGTATAAGCTGTTTGGGATTTGTTTTCTGTAAGGACAACATCCCTGTGACAGGCTGCCAGACCAAGGAATGCCTTCCCTGATTAGCATGGAATTCTGGTCTGGCTCTGAGCCTTCTTGTCGTGCCCTGAGCCTCTCTCTCTCGGGATGGGATCTTTGGGACTGGATAGCTTTCCCTTTGCTCTGTGTCCTGCCCTTCCCACTCCATCACCCTCCTCTCTGCCTCCCAGGAGTGCTCTTTGCCCAGAAACCCGTCGTCCACCTCCTCGCCGGCTCCAGCACCCACAGCTCCTGCAGCAGCAGCAGCAGCTCCCACTGCTCTCCCAGCCCTACCTCATCCCGAGGAACGCCCAGCACGGAGCCCTCCACCAGCTGGTCTCTCTGATGGGCGGCCCATTCCCTGTCTCACACTGGCCTCTGGCTCCCGGAGCGAGCCGGGAGGGAGTCGCACAGATACCTCATCTCAAGGAACCTGCTTTTGTGGTTGGCCAGCGGCAAGATGATGATGATGATGATGATGATGATGATGAAACCTTTCCATGCCAGCGAGTTTTTCTTCATCATCTCCTTGTCCAGCCTTTTTTCTTTGTTCTCCCCCTTTCTTCCTCCCTTTTGCTCTTTGTTTTCTTCCTCCTCCTCCTCCTCCCAGGGTTTGCTGTGTTCCTGTCGGGGGTGGGACATGGAGGGGGGGCACGCCTGGCGTTTTTCAATCAGGGATGGGCTCTAGGAGCTGCGGGTTGAGACATGGCTGAGACGTCACCAAGGCAGGTTGAAAGAGCTGGAGTTGGGGCAGGGAAACTTGGTTCTCCTTGAGCCAGGAACCACAAGGACTCTTCCCACCAACCAACTCCGTGTTTTGACAATCCTAAGAGCCGGCGGGGTGCCTTGCCCTGTCCTCCCTTGTGCTGCAGAACAGGCAAACTGCTTGTTTCCTTCCTGCTGTTTCCATATGTCCTCACAGGAGGCTCATGAGCCTCCTTCCCCCTCTCCACGGTTTTGACATGAGGGGAAGGAGTTCCTCCCTCCCTGCCACATTGAAACCCTCTCTCCATCAGCTGCTTGGTTCTTGCCGGTGCTGCCTGATCCCTCCTGTTGCCTTCAGGCTTTCAGAAGTTTTAAAGGCCCTTGACCTTGCCTGTCTCTCATGAGGAATTCATCCCACTGACCTTTACCCTGACAGCCTGAGCTTGTTGTGGCTCCTCTGATCCTCTGCCCCCGTGACACTGTCACTCGGGTCGATCCAGGCTTTCCTGAGATCAGCCATCTCACTTCTGCCTCCTGAGGTGGCTTCTGGTGCCCCTGGAAGCTGCCCACGTCTGTGTGCTGAAGAAATAGGAGGTCATCTCTGCAATCCATCTCGTGGGGGCCACATTGTGTGCGTGGGTGTTGTGGTTAATGTTATACACGTGGGTTTTTTGTCTTTGAACAAACCCAGCTGCCCACGCCCCTTCAAACTGCACCTGAGCAGCGAAGACCTTTTGCTCTCCGGGGGAAAGTGGAGAGCAGGAAATCAAGCCCTTCCTTGCCCTTTCTCCTCAGACCTCCAGTTGGAAGCAGAGCTGGCCCTGACTCCATAAATCAGCTCCTGCTCAGGTGGCCTTGTGCTGTCCCCCTCTCCTTCTGGCCTTTCCTCAGCCCAGAGAGATGATCCAAACTCCATCCCTCCTGCCCTGGTGACGTCCTTCCCATGCTTCAGGCCCAAGTCAGGTTTTTTTGAGCAGATGAAATACCTCAGATATGTACTTGTTGTTGGGTTGGTTTTGTTGGTTTTGGGTTGTTTTTTTAACCTCTTCAGGAAGTATTGGCATATCTTATCGCTTGGTTTTTTAATATGTGGGTTTGCTGACATTGTGTTTGTTTGTTGTTTTTTTTTTTTTAATTTTTAAATGTATCACCAAAGACAGAAAGTTAAAACAAGGCTGAGCAAAGCAGCAGTGGTTTCCTCATCCTTTAGGCCAGCAGGAGCCAAGCTCCAGCATCATCCCAGGACATGTGCATGACAGGGGGACAGGTAGAGGCAGGAAAAGAGGGCAGGAGTGATGCTCACTTAGATTTGTTCTTCATCTTGGACACGAGGGTGTCTCCAAAGTCCATCTGATTTTTCCAAGCCCCAGGATCTGTGCCTGTGTTGGTTATCCTGCTACCTGACATCCCGAGGACTGTTTGGGAGCCAGAGGGTGGGAATGCACATGTCCTCAGATGGATGCTGCTCTGAGATGTCCCATCCAGCTGCTTTTAGTTGCCCACCCTCTGGGCATGGGGAAGCTGGGCTGATCCCGCAGGCCTCCATGGCATTTCATCCTCACAGACTCCCAGAGGTTTTTCCAGACTCTGGGGCTCAATGAGATTATTTTCTTTTTCCCTTTTTTTTTTTGTTTTCTTTTGATTGTTGTTGGTTTTTTTTTTTTATTTTATTTTATTTGGGGATGGGGATGGGGCTGTTTCCTCTGAGTGGGACTGGGGCACTTTTTGCTTTTCCTTCTGCTTTGCTCTCTGGCCCTGGGGAGCAGAGGTTGGTCCGGGGTGGATTCTGTCTCACACGCTAACGTTGTGTTTTCTTGCACAGAAAGGCACTCGAATCACTGAACTGCTTTGACACTACTAGAGTATTAATGTTTATAAGCTTTACTCAACCTAGACTGGAACTAGCCAGGACTAACAGATTGTTTTGTATCCAATTCAGGGAAAGAATCAGGTTGGGATGCGTAACAGATACCTCAGTTAAATAAGCTGCAACAATAAACTGGTCCTTTCTCAGTCCAGTGTGACAAGGACCATTCAGACTGTGAAGAGTTAACCCTTTCCTCTGAGCCTGGCTTTGATCCTGGCAATCTGAGCTCCAGATCTCCTACTGAGCTGCCAGGCTTTGGGGACAGGGTTATGGAAACCAGCAGCAGAGCCGGGGAAGGCTGAGCGAGGGTGGTGGATCCCCCCCTCTGCTCCATTTCATCGATTGTGTAGTACTCAGGGTTTGATACTGCGAGTAGGACTGTTCCTGTGTGAAGTGCTCCGCTTTGCAGTGTTGCTCCATCCTCTCCCAACTCCACACCAGCCAAGGTTTTGCAGCGAGCAGCCAAAAAGAAAACAGCCCCCAGCTTGCTCCAGTGCAGACACCATGCTCCTGTTTCCAGGGGGAGATTTGCCAGCTGGGAAAACCAAACCTAACCTGCTTCAGGCAGCTCCCAGTTGATGCTGGGAAGGCACAAAAATTGGGACAAGGGGGAGAGGCTGTGTGTGCCTGCTCGGCTCCCAAAGTGAATGTGAACGTGTCACACCAAGTCCTTTTGGCCACTGCACGTGCATGTGTGTGTGTGTGTGTGTGTGCTCCAAAGGGATTGGGATCAGATGTTCTCTCCAAACAGCTGCAGCAGCCTTGCTACTAGTTTTCTTACCTATTTAAAAAAAAAATAATAAAATAAGTAAATAAAAACAAATGTGATAGCCTAGGCGGTGGATAAATACCTCAACGTCTCCTTCCAACAAGTGTCTGTATATGTTGTTGTTGGGTTTTTTCTATCTTACAGGTTATCTGAATGTTTATATTCCAATAAACTTCTACCTCTTCACACTGTGACCCCCAAGCCTGTTCTATGCCCCTGGCTGTCTCCCCGAATTTAAAGATTTCCCTTTTTTCGTCCTGGGAAATTATTCCTAGAGGCCGGGTCAGCCTAGCTGAGGTCTGGATCCTTGCATGGCTTTGGGCTCCCAGTTTGGAGCTGGGCTGGTGGGATGTTTTTAGGGATGGTGGCTAGGAATGAACTGTGTCCCTGTGGGCTGGAATGATGGAGCTTCCAGGTTGGATACTGACAGAAACCATGTGGGATCTCCTTTCCCAGGTGCTGCTGAAGCTGCTGTATCTGTCCCATGTCCCTTACCCAGGTTGGGGCAGGAGCCTGTCTCCCAAATCCCTCTCCTGTCATCACCACCTCCCCACAAAAAGGACATTTAATGCTTCCCACTAGTTTTGCTGTTTGCACAGCACCTGGATGCTGTTATTCCAGTCATTGAACCAGTTTGGCAGCAGGAGAGGAGCTGATTTCCAGTCCCTTTTGTGTCAGCCTTTCCAATGCCCCATATCTGCAGTTGTTTTGACTGGGGGCCTGTTTGTGTCCGCTGGGTCCTGGTAAGGGGATGGAGCCCACGACCTTTCCCATCCTCCCACTGAACTCACTTAATGGAATTGGGAACCTCTCCCGTCCTGCCTGCCCCCTCCATCAGCACCTGGCTGCAGGTGAGCCCCCCCACAGCAGTAAGAGCGGGCTGGCCTCACCTGGGCTCTGGTCCCAGCCTATCCAAGCAGCAGGCAGGTGAAGGCAGAGCCTTTCCCCCCACCTTCCCTCCCCTCCTGCCTACCACTGGGTTTGGCTTTTCCCAGCTTTCCCTGCGTGAATGCGGCCGAGACAGCTCAAGGACTCACCTGCCCTTACCTCTCTCCTTACAAGCCCGATGCCTGAGGCAGGTAAGGTGGGGTCTGGCAGTGGGGGGTGGAAAACTACCCTCGGTGTGTTGTTGCCATGGGGTTTAGCCACTTGCAGCCTTAGGGTCGGAGGAGGGAAGGTGCTGGGCTGGAGAGAGATCTTCCCTGGATCCAGGGGTGCTCAGACACCCCGTCTCAGGTGACAAGGGGACTCTCTGGTGGCCACCACAGTCCAGGATAGCCCTGCAGCCCAGGGACAGCCCTGCAGCTTGGTGCAGCATGTCCATGCACAGGATCCTTCAGCTCAGCTGCCCCAGCTCCCCAAAGTGGGCACCCCAAGGGGTCCGATGCACCTTCCCGTTCCCCCCAGCCCTGCAGACCCACGTGTGTCCGTACACCCGGGGTGGGCACACTCCAGCCCTCCCAACTCGCTGTCCTGGGGCTGTACAACCACAAGCATTGGCAGGCGTTGTTTGGACTGGAATATAATCCTTCAGGCAAGTTTACATCCCAGCCCCCTTCCCTCCATCCCTCCCTAAATGCCGCCATTCAGCGCTCATCCCAGCCACAACCTGGCTTCCTGAACAAACAACAAAGGGCTGAGGAGAGCCCAGCGCGGATTAAGGCACCTGGGGAGTGAAACCCGGCCCAGTGGGGTGAGACAATGCCTGCTTTTCTCCTTCAAACGCCCCCATCCCTTTATGGAACCCGGCTCAGGCACCGGCACAGCTTTGTCCAGGTCCTGCTCTCCTTAATCCCTCCCTCCAGGGCTGGAGGCAAAGCCAGGTCTGGGCACAGGGAGGTTTTTCCCAGCACAACCACACAAATGCCACCTCTGAAACGCATGTTTCCTAAGGAACTTTAGCCCTGATGTCCAGGAATTTGGTTCCCTGCTCCCTAAATGCCCAGTGTGCAGGGATGCCACCCTGCCAGGGAGGCCACAAACCCCACAGGTATCCCTGCTGGGAGGGATAAAGCCCAGCTCACCGCCTGCAGAATCAGTCCTCTGGGCACAGCTGAGGGAGGAGGTTCCCCTCTTTCAGGGCCAGGCTTGGGTGTCTCACACCTCAGGGCCCACTGCTACTTTGAATCCAGCCTGGACACCCCAAATCCTCCCTTGCAGGTACCTCTGCTCCCCTTCATACCCTTTGTGTCCCCCACCAAGCGTGGTGCTAATCATTCCCAAACTGCGTCAGCCTGGCAGCAGGGCTGATAATTCCAGTGTTTTCCATGGTCCTTATCATTCCCAGGGTGAGGCTGGGTTTGTTTTAGCCTCAGACTGGTGTCAGGCTGCCCGAGCACGGTGCTGGCCCCGCCAGCTCCTCTCCCACCTTCTGGCTTTGGGATGCTCCAGCTCAATCCCAGTTTACAAAGAGGGGAGGTGGGTCCCAGGGGATGTGAACTCCCAGCTGTTGTTCCTTCCAGTGCTCCAGCACCCACGGAGAGTCACGTTGGCGCAGCCTTTGCGAGATCCATCCTTCTAATGGTGCCCTCTCTCTCTCCAGTGCATCTGCAGATCTTCCTCGGTGCAGGCCTGTCCCTCCTCTGCCTCAGCATCCTCCTGGGCTGTGCCATGTGCTGGTGGCACCGCCGGCGCCCAAGTCCCCACCCCATCCGGGAGTGGGCAGCCATGGAGCTGGGACCTGCTCTGCCTGCCATGACTGTGCCAGTGCCCATCCAGCAACAGTACGAGGAGATGGCAGGAGAGGTGGTGGGTGCTCGGGCAAAAGAGGGTTCCTTGGCATCACCAGCATCCTATGGGAGTTTGCTCCGTGTCAGAGCATCCTTGCCCGCTCTCCCCTTCCTCCCGCAGCTGGCGGGAGCGTGGCAGCGCCGCTGCACCATCTCTGGAGCCAAACTCCTCCGCAACAAGGAGAGCCCGCTGGTCCGCCCCGTCGCAGGATCCCCACTGCCCTCCGAGCAGCGTCCCCGGCTCCACTGCGACTTGTCCTACTCACCACCGGAGGCCATTCTCACCGTGACGATTCTCGGCGTCTCCCACCTGCCCAAGGGGCTGCAGGACGACCGGGGCTCCTACGTCAAGGTGTACCTGGTGCCGCGGCTCCCGGCGTGCCAGCGCGTGGCCGTGCGCCGCCGGAGCCTCCGCCCTGCCCCCCTGGAGCCATGCCAGTTCGGCCCATACAGCCCAGAGGAGCTCAGCAGCTTCACCCTGCGCTTCGCTGTCTACGCCAGGTCGCGCAGCCTCAGGGACTCCTTTGTGGGGGAGGTCCTGTTCCCCTGCGCCCAGGCCTCTTGGGACCCCCAGGCCTCTTCTGGCTACACCTGGGAGCTGGCGAGCACCAAAACCAAGCTCAGGAAGGTCAGGATGGCAGCAGTCTCCAGCAGGGGGTTGTCCTCATGTTTTGGCTGAGGTCTGCTTGGTCTCAGAGCCCCAAAACTCCACGGGAAGAGGCAGAGCCTCCTGAGGCATCACCAGTTATCCCTGTGGTGGGCTCCATTGTGGTACAAGTCCCTGTCAGTGTCTCTGCCGAGGGGCTTTGCACCTCTGATTCAGGGAGTGGTGGGGTGGAAGGGGTAAATGCAGAGCTGGCACCATCCTTGCAGTGATGGTGAGCATCAGATCCTCCTTCTTGACTCATTTTTGCCCATTCATAACTCATTTTTGCCCATTCTTGACCTCGATGGGGGACAAGCATCTCTGAGTTGGAAGATGAAGCTGGAGAAGGTTTCACGGCGTCTCCTGCTCTCTCCTCCCATTCCAGTGCCTCAGAGCCCACAACAGGAGCTGCAGCATCCTCTCCTCATCACCCAAATCCCTCGGCCAGCTCTTCCTTCTCCTCCAGTACCAGGCTCTGGCCAGCCGCATCAAGGTGCTGGTCCGCAAGGCACAGGACCTGGGCCGGCTCTCACGCATGCCAGGCACGCCAGGTAGGACACGGGACATGGACCAGGAGGTGAGGAGATGCCCAGGTGGGCACAGGCAGTGACTTCTCCTCTTTTTGCATGGCAGATTGTCTTATTTCCTCTTGAACTCCTCTTTTCCAAGCATGGCAAAGGGTTGGAATGAAATTATCTTTAAGGTCTCTTCCAACCCAAACCCTTCTGTTACTCCATGAAAATGAGCACAGGAAGTGTAGTTGTTAGGATCTAGATATCCCCAATATGGCCCCAAAATGCTTACAATATATGTATTTATGGTCAAAAATTAGCATGTGGGCTTTCTATCCTGCTGGGTGTTGTCATCTCTGGCTCTCCCCGCCCATCTGGAGCCTGGGATGTGGGCAGGGATGCGAGGTGAGGACTTCAGAGGTCCCTGCTCCAGACCCCAGAGGGGCAGGTGAAACCTCAAGAGCTGTCTGTGCTCTTCCCATGGTTCCACAGAGGTTCTGTAGCCCCCCTGGCACAGCTGGGGAACTTCCAGCCTCCCTCCCTGCCATGTGTCCAGAGCAGGTCCCTCTCTCCATGGCTCTGTCTCCGTTTCCAGGTCACTACATCATCATCCACCTTTACCACAATGGCTGTGTCATTGACACCAAGGAGACCAAGTCCATCAGTGGCTACAACCCTGTGTGGAACAAGCCTTTCCTCTTCAACATCCCTGCTGGGGATATCCAGCAGCAAGAGCTGGCATTGGAATTCGTTGTCATGCAGGTGAGGTGGGTGGAGGTGACCATGGCTATGAAGGTGACCTGGATCTCCTGTGCTCCTGCACCTGGGGGGCTCGGCCCCCAGAGGAGCCATTTCTTGATGCCCACAGGAGGTTGCTGGGGTGGGATCACTCTTTTTGGGATGATGGAAAGCCACCAGCCATGTCCCATTTCCCCTCTCCTGCCACAGGCTCACCTCCACACCCGTGGCTCTGCGCTGGGCTGTGTGCGGGTGGGGCCACGTGCCCCTGGGACCGGGCTGCTCCACTGGAGGGACATGTGCAGCCAGGGACCACTGGAGTCAGAGCAGTGGCACCAGATCCAGCCCAACACCCTCAGACCCTGATCCTGCCCACAGTCCACAGACAGGGCTTGCCCAGGACTCAGGTACCCACAGGAGTGAGCCAAATGGGATCTCCGAGCCATGGAGAGGTGAGGTCTCACCCGCACATCATTGTGGGATAAGTCTGGGCTCCAACTCCAGGACTGGAGATCAGTGGTGGTCGGCACAACCCCTTCCTGAACGACTCTGGAGGAGACTGAGCCTGTCTGAGGTGGCTTCAACACTGGGGAGAGAAGAGGAGCCTTTCTCTGTTTTGTCCACCATCACCACCTCGGTGACTACACACAGAGCCTTGGCCGTTGCAGGAGATGGGTGGGAAGATCACCCAGCTGGGAGAGCAGCCCCATGGCCACCACAGTGGTTGCATCTACTGCCCCTTCCAAGCCACCATCACCAGCCCACCCTTCCCATTCAGCCCCCTGAGCTCGGACACACCTGAGAGAGGAGCCACGAGGACATGCTGATATCACCTGGTGAGAAAGATGTCCACTGGCATTTTTAATTAATTGCTGACCCAAACAAGTGGTTGATAAACAAATAAAGGGGTCAGGGATGATTGCATGTGTGGAGTCATTGGAATTCTGTCCTACCCATGGGCCAGCAGTGTCCATGGTCCACCATGTCCTCTGGAGCGGTGGCCTGGGTGAGAAGGGAGGTCACCTTGAGGGGTGGGAGAGAGCAAATCCCTGCCTGGTGCTAATTATTGAATTATCAGGACTGAGGCCCCTCTCCAAGTGGGCTAATTGGACACGGAAACACTTCCACCATGTCCTCACCCCCAGGCTGTGACCCATGGGACAATCCCAGCTCCCAGCCCCGTCTGGTGGAAGGAGTTTGTCTGCAGAGGCCACTGGGGGACACAGTGCAGAGGCCACTGTGATGAAGACCATGAGGAGGGTCACCATGGCAAGGAAGGCCGTGGTGAGGGTTGTCACTGTGGGGATCATCATGGTGAGGAAGGCCCAGTGGTGAGGAAGGGCTGCAGTGAGATAAGCCATGATGAGGAAGGTCACGGTGAGGCAGATCACAGGGAAGAAGACCATGCTGAGGAAGAAGATGGCCATGGTGAAGGTAGGCTATGGTGAGGAAGGCTGTGGTGAGGCAGACTATGAGGACAAAGACCCTGGGGAAGAAGTCTGTGTGGAAGATGAGGATGGCCATGGAGAGGAAGGCCATGGTGAGGGTGATATTGGCCCTGATGACCACAGGGAGTCAGACCACAGGGATGAAGCCGTGTTGACAGTGAGGATGGCCACGGTGAGGAAGACCATGGTGAGGAAGGTCATGGCAAGGAAAGCCATGGTGAGGGTGAGGATGGCTGCAATGGGGAAGGCCATGGTGACAGAAGCTGTAGTGAGGATGGCCATGGAGAGGAAGGCCATGGGGAGGATGGCCACAGTGGGGTAAACCACAATGGGGAAGACCATGGTGAGTCAGACTACAGGGAGGAAGACCACGGGAAGGAAGCCGTGTTGAGGGTGAGGATGGCTGCACTGAGGAAGGCCATGGTGGGGCATGAGGGGCCAGAGCGTTGCGAAGAGTCGCCCTCCTCCCACCGCTTCCAGTCCCGGTTTAACCCTCGTCCCGTCCCTCTGCGGCGTGTCCAAGGCCTGTCCCGCTCCCTCCCGTCCCTCCGGGGCGGGTTCAGGGCTGGTCCCGCCCCGTCCCGTCCCTCCGGGGCGGGTTTAACCCCGGTCCGGGAAGCGGAAGCGGCGGCGCTGCGGGGCTGCAGGAATTGGGCGGCGGGCCGGCCGGGCCGCACCCCGCCGAGCGCGGCCGGGTTTGGCGGTGAGGCCGCGGGGACAGGCGGGGGGAGGGGGCGCCGGGGACACGGCGGGGACACGAAGGGAGGCGGGCGGGGAATGGGCCGTCCGGGCGGCGGGTAACCCCCGGCCCTCGCACAGCGCCCTCCGGCATCGCCGAGCCTCGGGCGGGCTCTGCCGGGGCCGGGTGTCCCCCGGGCCGAGCCCGCCTCATGCCGCACCCATGGGTGAGGGGTTTGAGACCTGGAATCCCCTCGTCCTCGCAGATGCATCACTGCAGGAGGTTCCGGTCCCCGGAGCAGGAGAGCGACCTGGGACACAGGTGGAAGCGGAGGCGGTCCCGGAGCAGGGAATACGAGGGCAGGCTGCGGTACCCTCCCCGCAGGGATCTCTCCCGGCGGTCGCGATCCAGGAGGTAGGAGCGCTTCGGGGCGGGTTATCCAGTAAACCCTCGTCCTGATCCCGCCGGTGTTGCCGAGCTGGCATTCATCTCCTGACTACAGGTCGGCTTTAAACCTGTAAATCCCAGGGAATGGAAGTGAAGGCTTTACTTGTGTGTGTGTGTGCATGCGTGTGCACACGCGTCTTCCCTGCTATGCTAAAGTTCTTCCCAAAGATATGGCTTTAATATTAGCGAGGGAACAGTGTGCCCTGGAATCACGTTTCCACGCTGTGGAGGCCTTAAAGCCTTTCTCCCAGCAACCCACTTCCTTCCGACAGGATTAAAATCAGATTTAAAGTAAACAACAATTTAAAGTAACAACGCTCCTCCCTCACCTCAGATGGGATCCCAGCTAAAGGATCCGACCACTAACTGACCTCTCCTGGCTTTGGTTCTGGATTTTACCTTTGATCCTGTCTTTGTTCAGCATTTCCACAGGGACAATTAGGTGCTGGAAGCGGGATAAGGCCTCTGATAAGAGGAGGGTTCTGGAGAGAGCAGGAGCCATGTTGCAGCGTGCGACCAGAGTAGGCTGTTGGTCCTGGGGCTGCTGTGGTTCCACTGGTTGGACTGGGCAGGTGCAGCCAGGCTGGAGCTGAGCTCATCTTTAAATGTTCCCCACATTAATTCCTCTCCTCAGCCTGGCTTTTGTTTACTCAGGGGAAGCAGATTGTGAAACACAGCTGGCACACGCAATGGACTTTTCCATTTTTTCATCCGATGGGTAATTTGGGACAGATTTGGATGGAAATAGGCTTTTGTTGGGTGAAAACAACCTTATCCCTTAGTTTCAGACTCAGCCTCTCAGGTCTCCTCTGATTCTGAGTCTGTCAGATTGTTATTCTGTTTCCTGTGTTTGTCCAAAGTGCACAGTGAAGTTTCACCAATGATGAGTTGGTGAATAGATCAGTGTTGCAGCAGAGCCACATGGTTTGTGTTTTGGGTGGTTTAGCAATGACCGAGAGCCACTGCTGCCTTGGCAGAGTCTGAAATTTTACTCTGGAACCATGCTGAGATGAACCCCCACACTCAGACCTGTGTCCTGTTAAGCTGTCAGTGAGGGGAGCTGATTGTTGACAAGGCAGAGAGGTGCAAATAGCAAAAATTCCTGTTTCCAGGCTGAAGGTCTTGGTTAGCGAGGCCACTGCTGGGTGACAGCATTGACCTGGCCTGGCACATGCCCAGGATTATTTTGGGAAGCCAGTGCACTACTTTGATTTCAGAATTACAACATCTTCTACCTAAAACACAGCCTCTTTCTCAATGAGGTGTGAAGCAAGATTCACAGTGAGGTCTGGTTTGTTAGACCAGCTGGGATGGAGAAGGCAGTTGTGCTTTGGGGGGAAGAAGCAGGAAGGTCTGCTCTCATCCTTGGTGTGCCCACATGGTACCCAAAACCTCGTGTGTGATGTCAAAGGTGAGCTTTGTCTGACAACTTCAGGTCCTCCCTGATGCAGAGATGAGCTTGTCCAAAAGTTTTCCTTACATGCTGGGAGGTTGTTGTTAGCAGGGCAGGAGCTTGACTCCACTATGGAGAGCAAATTTTCTTTCTGGCTCTTTCTAATGATCTGTGGAGCTGGTGTGTGTGCACTCACCGAGGACTCGGTGTTTTGGGACCTCCAGCCCCCCCTGGGGTGACAACTAGAGCCCTACTGCTGGGTTCAGTCCTCATTTATTTAAGAACTAATGAGAGACCTTCCTGAGGGAGGAGGAATGATGACAAACACTTGTGTGTGGTGGCAGAGGTGGCTTAGGTGAGGTGTAATGATAGAATCCCAGAATGGTTTGGGTTGGAGGGACCTTAAAGCTCATCCAGTTCCACCCCCCTGCCATGGGCAGGGACACCTTCCACTAGTCCAGGTTGCTCCAAGTTCCATCTAACCTGGCCTTGAACACTTTGAAGGGTGGGAGTCCACAACAAGGTAGGCAGTTCAGATAGAGCTCTCTGATGGTGGTTTCCCCCAGCTCCTTGAAATGTGGGAATGCCACACTGTTTTCTCTCACATACCTCCACAAGGGTCAGTATTTGAGGCACAGCGGAGGGTTTGAAGTTCCTGCCACAGGGAGTGGGAGCAGGAGGACATCTTCTCTCTGGTGACCAAGTGAGAGGATCTGAAGGAGCAGCAGGGAGCTGTGCTGGGGGAGTTAGCTTGGACAGGAGGCAAAGGGTGTTTGGGCACTGGAACAGAGGGTGGTTGGGCACTGGAACAGGCTCCCCAGGGCAGTGGTCACAGCACCAAGCCTGACAGACCTCGAGGAGCATTTGGACAACGCTCTCAGAGTCGTGGTGGGACTCTTGGGGTGTCCTGTGCAGGGCCAGGAGTTGGACTCGATGACCCTCGTGGCTCCCTTCCAACTCAGGATGCTCTGTGACTCTGCGACTTAGCTCCAAGAGGACTGGGCCTTCCGTGCTTTTCCAGGCTGATAACAGCGTTGTTGTTTGTGCTGCAGCCATGAGAGGATGCCTTACCACAGGAGGTGCCGGCGGGACAGCGATGCCTACAGGTTCGAAGAGCGGAGCCCGTCGTTCGGGGACGACTATTACTCGACGCGCCCGCGGAACTGGCGGCGATCCAGGGGCAGAGATCAGCACCGTCCCAAGAGATACCAGCACCACTGCCGGAAACGCAGGAGCAGGTCTTGTAGCAGTACCTCCTCGGTGAGTAGCATCCAGAACGAGCTCAGGAATGGTCAGGGTTTTAACTGTTCTTGCCTCCTTTCAGCTCCGAACACTCTGGGTGAGTAACTCGAATCCCGTTTCTGTGTTTGTTTTCATTCCGTGGAACGTAAAGTCCCAG